AGTAGCAGACCTTTCAGGCCTTAACTTCATAAAATCAAATTGCAACGTATCTTGGCTGTAAGAACAATGGAAACAATATGGTGCCTTGATTTTCTCTCAACAGATATGCGCATGCAAATAAGTAATGCTGAGAAACTATTTCTTGAGAAACTCAGTGAAAAGGAATACTGGGAAGAATACAAGAATGTAGGCAGTGAACACCATGCTAAACTCATTACCTCCTTGCAGAATGACATCAGTAGAGTTAAAGAAAATGCAGAGAAAATGTCAGGTCAGTTGCAACAAAGCTAGTTCAAATTCAATAGAAAATCTTTGGAGAGCAGCCCTTTGGTAGAAGGAAAAAAATGTGTAGTTCCTGGATCATTCTTTACTATCAGCACAAGCAGCTATGAACCTAAGGTGGAGAGAGGAAGTGCAGAAACTCTCTCAGGACCACCAATGGAACTGAGGAGAAGAAGGACTGGTGTTGGGTGGGGGGAGGGGAGTGGAGAATCCCTGAGACCAACTGCCTTGGAGAATGAAGCTTCATTCAGTGGATGGTGTCTGCATGTTTCTATTCCTAGGTCTGGGGCAATTCAACTGAGGTAGGAAGGTCCGGGGACAGGGTTATATTGAAAAGAAATTTACCTGAAGCAAGCTTAAAACAACTTAATCAGGCTATAAAACTGGAATCATTGTAGAGAAACACAATGCTAGGTAATAGATTACTAGTAATCTAGTAAATGCTAGGTTACAGTCAGTAAATGCTAGGTTATAGTCAGAAAGAACTGAAACACAAACACAAGACAGGAAATGGAGAGAGTGTGGAGTGTGATGGCATCAGGAGTGATGAAGCTTACCAGGACTAGTTCTGAGAACCATGAGGACATCCATCTGTCACTGTGGCTAAGCACAATGGCTTAAAAAAAATCAGAGAACCAGAGAAAGGAAAGTCATAGAGTAGAATAAATGGAGAAATCGGATGACTCAGAAGAACACTGGCCAGATGACAGCTGGTGATGGTGCCCTGAGTAGTGGAGGTATTCATGTGGGTTCATTTCCATGATCCCCTGCAGGGGCCCTGTCATGGGATGTTCCACTACTGAACCAAGAATTCTGTAAGTTTCTCAGCTCAGGGCTTCTGCACCACAAAGGCAATGTAAATTTGGTTCCAAATCAGTCTGAGTTTAGAGTTCCAATTTTTCAAAATATTTTCCTCCCCAGAAAAAAAGTGGAGAATAAAAGGGACACCTTCTGAGGCATCCAGGTGGCTCAGTTGGTTAAGCATCTGGCTCTTGGTTTCAGCTCAGTTCATGATTTTAGGGTCCTGAGATCAAGCCCTACATCAGGCTCCACACTCAGCAGGGCATCTGCTTGGAACTCTCTCTCCCTCTTCCTCTCCCCCTCCCTCCTGCTCTCTCTCTCTCTCTCTCTCTCTTTCTTTCTCTAATAATAAATGAATAAATCTTTTTTAAAAAGGGAGAGGGGACACCTTTCTATGCCCATCTATCCTCCAGCCCCTCAGACCCTCTCTCTAGATAAAACCACTATTACCAATTTTTGTAACTGTTGTCTGAAATACTTTGTATCAACATATACAGAGCATGCTACAAATACAATTTGGCACTTGCTTTTTCATGTAACAATATGAACATTCTTATAGATCAGTACATATTAGTACTTCTTCATTCTTCCAGTAGCTATTTTGTTTTGTTGTATTATAATATTTTTACAAGTCCCCTACTCATAAGCATTTAGGTTGTTTCCTATAATGCTGCAATGAATATTCTTAAAAGTCTCCTTTTACTGTAATGAATATCCTTGTATTTATATAATTTCATTTTTGTGTATTTCTAGGAAGGAATAGCTAGCCCAAAGTGCCCATTTCTTTTTTATTTTGATAGGTATGGCCATCCATAGAGCTTGTACCAAGTTGACTAACCACCCCTACCCCATGCCCGATGTCTCCCTGTGTAGATGAGGATGCCTATGTTTCTGCATCTTCAACAACAGGGATGTTAGCTAACTTTTTGTTCTTTGCCAGTCTTAAAAGGAGAAAGTTATCTCTCACTGTAACTTTAATTTCCACTTCTCTTATTATAAGTGATAGTGGATATCTTGTCACAAGTTCAGGAAATGTAATGGGAAATAGAACTACATTTCCTTTTCTGTGAACCATCTGTTCACATCCCTTGCTCATTTTTCTACTGTGTTGTAAAGTTCTTTACATTTTAAGGAAATTAGCTCTTTAACTGTAACACAAAGTACAAATATTTCCACCATTTGCCATTAGTCTTTTTTGATGGGCTATATTTATGGGGACATATTGAAGTTTTAGAGTGCCCAAACTAGATTTTTATTTTATGATATCTGAGATGATGCATAAGTTGTCCAATATTTTCTTCTAGAATATTTATGGTGTCATTTTAGTGTTTACATCTTTGACTTTTTTCTGTGTCTATATGGTAGGAAACCAACTTTATTTTTTAGCAGATGGTAACCCTAACCTTAACCCTAACATTGTGTATCAAATAATTCATTTTATCCCTGCTGATTTGAAATGCTGACTTTATCATACTTTAGTTTCCCATGTGTATTTGGGCCTCTCCTTGTACTTTCTGTTCTGTTTCACTGATCTATGTATTTGTGTACCAGTACTATACTTTTAAAATGTTTATTATTTGGGGAAGTTTAAAATTTTTAATCCCCCCAACATTTCTTTATATTTTAAATTAAGAAGTCATCTTCTCAGATAAAATTATGAACCCATTATCTTGATCAGAAATTTGGATGATTTCTTTGAGTTGAAAAGTGTCATGCTGTGTATCCAGCTTTGGGATGGTGGTAATAACACTTACAAATTGAATTATTTTCTGGTTAAGCCTTAGTCTGTAGCTGACTTTAGGTGTCATAGGAAAAACAGCTGTTATGGGCTTTTCTTATCTTCATTAGTTTTAGGGATTTCTCCTAACCATGCAGGTAGCAGCAGCAACTTGGCTTGGGGACTATGGAAATACTCTGGGGGCCAGTAATTGGACCATGGGTAAGAGCAGGACACTTAAATTGATTTATCTGGAGCCTTACTATTATATTGTCATTTTTCTTCCCTTCCTCCATGATTTCTCTAGAATGTTCCTCCCACACCCATGATCATGGAGTTTACTTGCAAGGAACAAGTATTTTAGGGAAAGAGGTGGTTATTGAAACAGGACACTAAAGTCAACTTTTTAAGTCTCAGTTTAAATTGGGGTGCTAATATAACAGACACCACATTTCAGAGTAAACTGAGAGACTGCCATGCCGAAGAGACAGAAAACTGAGTTCCGGTCTATACAAGAAGTTGGACAGGTCAAGAAAAGATTGTTGGAAATTAGGGGACAGTGTTTAGGAAGAGATCTTGGTGTGCTGTATGTCCTATGCTGTCCCACAAAGGGGCAGGTGAAGAGTAATTCTGTCACCTCAGATCAAGATGAACAATCTTTGAGGAAATTCCTCAGATTGTTCAGTATGCATCCTCTGTGGCTTGGGAGACATGGAGATCTAGTCCTGAGAAATCTAGGGGGTAAGAGACTGACTGATCATTCTGACAGCAGAGCCAAAGGGGAAGCGGCTGCTGTCCTGAACTAGGCCTGTGTCTTAGTCCTTTTAGACTACTACAACAAGATACATTAAGTGGGCGTTTTATAGACAACAGAAATTTATTTCTCACAGTTCTGCAGGCTGGGAAGTTCAAGATCAATGCCAGCAGTTTTGGTGTCTGGTGAATACCCACTTCCTGGTCCACAGACAGTCATCTTTAGTGAAGGGACAAGGGAGCTCTTTGGAGTCTTTTTTATAAGTGTGCTAATCTCATTCTTGAGGGTTCCCCCCTCTTGACCTAACGACCTCCCGAAGACCCCATCTCCAAATACCATCACACTGGGGATTATGTTTCAAGGCATGAATTGGGGGCAGAGGGCCACAAATACTGTCTGCAGCAGGCTGTACTCTCAGAGTTTGTCATGGCAAAGCACAAACGTGTTTCCTATGAATGTGCTGTGAGAGAGAGCTAGTACACAGTCCTGTCAGAGCTCGGTGATGGTGTCCTAACAGAGAAATCGGAGCCTGCATGTATGGGAGGGAGCAACAGATTGAGAGCCAGAGGCCAGAGGACAAGTTGTTGGCCAGCCTCAAGGACAGTACATCCCTGCATCAAGGAAACATGGGTGAAATAACTAGCAATGGGGAAGGTGGTCCCCTGAAGAACATATAAAATTCTCCCATGAAAAAGGAATCAACCTTAAGTACCAGCTAGGACCAGAAAGTGCCACATTAGCTTGAGACAGTCTCTGCCAAGTGAGAGCTTTCTTGTCCCTTTCCATGTTTCTCTTCAGCCTTGAGGGAGGAGGCACAGAAACTCAAATTAGAGGAAATAGTTGTATGTCCAGGTTGGGAAGGGAATAGCCACAGCTTTGAATGGAGTTTAAAGTTTTAATTACTACAAAAGACTGGATATGTTAATTCCTGATTGGAGGGCTCTTATTATCACAAAGGATCCAGAAAAGTAAAAAATTTGCCATATATCTTGTTGGGAGAGTTACTAGCTTCACAGTATGCATTTTAAAGGGAAGAGATAAAGCTAAGTTTGTTTGATGTCCCATGGTCATGTTCTTTGAATATATCACTTGCCGTGAGGAATGGGAAGACTGAAGATGGAAACAGAAGCCCAGTGGTAGCTCTAGCGATGGCTCCTCTCTACATTTATCTTTCATGGCCTGTGCCCCCTTCATGCAGCCTCTGCTTTGCTCTGTCCTGTCCCCATTCTCTTCTTGCTTCCCACACACCAGTTCTTGCAGTTTTCTCCAGCCCAGATTCTGAAGAGCTGGTGTCATCATCTACCTAAAGAAGATGAGCAAAGACCTTTATCCATGCCTCCTCATGGGGCATGGGTCGGCCATTCTGTGGTCAGCTATCCATCCCTGCCTTATTTGGGACCATCCATGAGCTCTGGGGTGGGGGAGTGGGGGCGGGGAGGAAGCACCTAGAGCTGCTTCCCTGAACTTTGGCTGGGAGATGTTGGGATAGTGAATAGAGGAAACACAGTCACTATTCTATCCAGGAAAAGGCTTTATCTCTCAATAAAAGGAAAGGGGACCTTAGTGAGGCCCAGCAATACAGAAAGTGTGGGGTTATGATAAGTCATTAGATATCAGGGTCACAGAGTATTTTTACTTTTGTCCTTCACCAGGCACACAGGACAGGAATCTCTAAAATTTCTTTGTACACTAAGATTTGGGTTCAAATGCACTTACAAAAAAGGAACATTACTTCTTTGAACATTGATTTCTTCATCTGTAAAAATGGGAGTCCTTTGGTGATCTCCAAGAGACTCACAAGAGGCCACCACCGGCCTCTCCACAGGAGAGGGTCAGCACGGTGAGGTCATGTGACACTGACAAGTGTGTGAAAAGTGGGCAACAGACTTCCAGAAAACAGTGGGGGAGCAAAGTAACACGGAGCTAGACCCAGCAGAGAAGGCAGAATGATGCAAAGCAAGTTTCAGCCAGCGTGGCTTTGCCATCAGCTTCTGAGAAGTGGCCACATTAGGGGTCGGAACAGCCAGGAGTTTAAAGACACAAAGCTACAGTCTCCCATGCTCCCATTAGCAACATCTCCAACTTTTATGAGAAGGAGATGTTTCATACTCCCAGCTTCTTTGGCTGTATTCACAAATGCATGGTTAACTGTTGTTTCTCAAAGCAGCATGGGAATCACGAAAGCTAGCAATGAGATTTTTATATCCTCCCTTGTGCTGGTTACTCTGTTCTTCAGAAGATAAAGAGTTCATAGAATTTTATATGGAACTTGGAACAAGTTGGGTATTTTTATTGTTTTGTCAGTGTTAATATGGCACTGGAGACAGCTATAACTTTAGTCAGAGCATATTTGATCATCTGTTTTTTAGGATTTGCAGCAAAGAATTAATATTTAATCTTATCAAGCTCCAGGTGATGGTTTCTTTCAGATGTTAAGAATGAAAAATCCGTTATAACTAAACTCCTGATCCATTGCAACTCTTAGACTGCCTGTTGTGTTTTGTTGAGTAGAAGTTTCAACTAAACAGCCACCCTTAATCTAGTGGACTAGGTCCTGAATTGAAACAAATTCTATCAGAAATGAGATTGGAATGATTAAAATGTCCAAGTGATAACTCCAAATGGGAGTAAAAAGAATAGAGGTTGTATGGATGGGTATATGCGGGCTGGAATCATGAGGACTTCCATTTTCTTATTCTCCAGATGTCAGGTTAGACCAGTTTCCTTCCTCTCCACTCTCTACAGCAGCCTTAATGTCACTATACCTCACTTTCCCTTGAACAGAGTTGTTGATAGTATGATCACGAAGCATATTTCAAGGCCTAAAATTTTATGATCCTTTGCTCTCTCAATCCTGACTATGACATAAGAAAATCTGGAGAGAATAAAAATCCTGCACTTCTTCATATCTGTCCTCCTTTCTTGCTCTGAGCCCCACTCAGAACGAGGGGCTGACTTTCACAGCCCCTTCACCCACTCTGTCTTCTCATTCTGTCTTTCCTGCCCAAGGAAACACATGCCAAGAATACTGGAAATTTAGTTAGATGGAGCCAGAGGTACAGGATGCTTCTCCTGTAGATAATCAAATCTTCTTTATATTTCCATTATGGAATCAGAAGTGCGTGATATGCAAGGTAGATGGCTGCCCTAAAGTATTGGGAATTTTCCCTTTGGAAAGACAATCCTTTGAGAATACAAATATTCTTAGGAGAGACAGCATCTTAAGCTAATTCACATTAAGGTGTTGGCAAATTATTGGAGCGTTTCTTCTAACAGGAGGTACTAGATGCTTCAGTAAAAATGTGCCCTGAGAATTTGGGGGGGAAAATATGTAGAAAGGAGAGGAGAGGATCATGAAAGATAAAATTTACGAGCAGCATAGTTTTACCTAGGACTAGCCTTGTTAAAGCTTCTAATTTTCTTTTTAAAGAACACTATAAAGTCACTCTGGAAGATGCTAGAAAGAAAATAATCAGAGAAACTTTGTTGCAACTGGATCAAAAGAAGGAATGGGCCACACAGGTATATTTCAGTTTTCTTAAAAACAAAACAAAAGTTGCTCCCCTATTTTTTCCCATGGTATATTATAATGATTAAGGACCTGAGTTCTGAAGTTTGGCAGTTTAGTTTAAATCATGGTTCTACCACTTACTGGGAATATAAACTAAATTTGTTCCTTGACTTCGCTGGGCTTCAGTTTCCTAATTTTAAAAAAAGGGCAATAATGTTATTTACCTTTAAAGAAGAGTATGAGGATTAAATGAGATGATTTAAGTAGCATAGTGCTCATAAGGAACAAGAGCTCAGTAACTTATTCAGTTATTTTTAAGTAATAATAATGGCTACAACAAATTATTAAATACAAGTTTTGGATGCATTATAAAATGAAATATGGTTTGTCTAAAAAGTACTGTCATATATATCCAAACCTAAGAGAGTACACTTTACATTGTGGAGCTTTAAAATTTGGGGATATTAAAAAATGTTTGAGGGGCGCCTGGACGGCTCAGTCAGTTAAGTGTCTGCCTTCAGCTCAGTTCATGATCCCAGCGTCCAGGGATCAAGTCCCGCATCAGGTTCCCTGCTCGGTGGGGAGACTGCTTCTCCCTCTTCCTGCTGTACCCCTCTGCTCATGCCCACTCTCTCTCTCTCTGACAAATAAATAAAATCTTAAAAAAAGTTTGAGATGTAATATCCAACATTTTATGTTTTCTAATCCCTTTGTTTTCACTGTCCTTCCCCTGCCCCCAGACTATCTCTTTGGTTACTAAGATCCCCACAGGGACTGTCTCTTCATTTAGAGTAACTCCTCTTCAGAATCATAAACATCTGGTCTTCTTTAAAGTTCTTCACTGAATTTCAGTTGCTATTGTTTGTTGCTTAACTGTTAGTTCAATTGTTCTTTCAGTTACTATCCTACTGCATGACTTTTACGTACTTATACAAATATAAAGGATTATGGAGAACTGACCAATAGTTTATTTGCCCATAAAATTCAGCCCATTTGGGACTGAATATGATGAAATGGTGAAGTCAACAATAAAATGATCCGAACTTAGTTAAGATGATTAAAAATGCATCTGTAGGTCAAATATATTTCAAGTATACACATTCAATATATGACGAGGACTGTTCCAGATACTGCTCTGAGCATTTTACATGTATGTCTCTCAACAATCCCATAAGGCAGGGACTCGCTAATGAGAAGACTGAGGCACAGAGAAATTTTTGTGGCTTTCCTAGAGCAAGTGGCAGAATCGAGATTCAATTCCAGATGTCTCCTTCAGATCATCATTCTTACTCACTACCTGATACACTGTCTTTTCTCTACATTAATGCCTAACACCCACACATGTGAATGAATTTTCCCCATTTTATCTGGCTATTTTAGCGTAACTTTAGCTTCTGATAATCCACTGTTGTGCAACCTTGGCTGCATATTAGAATCACCTGAGAAGTTTGGTTAACTCATTTGGTTCCTCAGAGATGCTCGTGTAATTGGCCTGCGATATTGACTTGGTTTCTGGATTTGTTGACCTGCCCAGGAGATTCTAGCATGCACCCAAAGTTGAAGACCCCTGCTCCATTGTTAGTGAATGAAGCCATTAGCCCACTAACTTCCGTTATGAGATGTATTCTGCTTCTGTTCAAATGAAATTCTGTGTTCCAGGACACTTCAGAGCTATCAGTGGCAGCTGGTTGTATAAAAGGTCTTGGTTCCTAGGGAATGTAGGTGCACCCTTAGTCCAATTAGCATGATTTGAAGAAAAAAAAATTATTGCAAATCTTCCAATTCAAAGACTGAGATAAATTTATTCATATTTTTAAATTACTTCTGTCTGTGTTTATGATCTATAAAATTTTTCCTAATTTCTCTTGCTTTGGTTATGCCCTTTGGTTACTGAACGTGGAATTTCTAGCATGGTATCCATATAAAAGTACCTCACAGATAAATGCAATCTTTCATCCATTATAAAGTTCTTTTGGGGAAAACTATAAATAAACAAAAATTGAAAATTAATTTACATTTTATGAACTACTGAAAAAGTGATGATTTTCCTGTTTTCTTCATCTAAAATTACTTTCTCCAGGAGACAGTCTAGTTACCCTGAAACTATTTGCTATTAAGTTTGTAAATATGTATATTTTTATTACTGACATGCAGAAGTCTTTCAGATTAAAAATGTAGTAAGAGAATCTACTCATGCTTTTGCTCTATGTTGGATTATGTCTGTGACCATAAACTTGAAGAATATTTGGTCCCTGAAGTTTACCCGCTTTAATCATGGAACAGATCACTTAATGAATTGATTTCATCATGGCAATCAGATTCAGTCACAATGGAAGCCAAATTGAATGGATAGCTATTGTCCAGTTCTCTAAATCACCTGTATTAGGCAGTGTGAATCAGCAAAAAATAATATGAGAATAAAGAACAACTGAAGCAGAAGTTCTTAGATATATTCCCAAAACAATTGCAAAACATAATGTAAAATGATCAGATAAGTTGATTGTGAAGCACCTGCTGCAAGTCTTCCTTAATACAGAAACTTTCTTTTAGAATGCCATACGGTTCATTGACAAGGGCAGCTACCGAGAGATCTGGGAGAATGACTGGCTGAAAAAGGAGGTAGGTGGAATTTTATTTTATTTATTTATTTTTAAAGATTTTATTTATTTATTTGACAGAGAGAGAGATCACAAGTATGCAGAGAGACAGGCAGAAAGAGGGGGATGCAGGCTCCCCGCTGAGCAGAGAGCTAGAGCAGGGCTCAATCCCAGGACCCTGACATTGTGACCGGAGCCGAAGGCAGTGACTTAACCCACTGAGCCACCCAGGTGCCCCAGTAGGTGGAATTTTAAAAAACAATTTCTTCTTTCTCTTTTTTTGAACTGGAAAGGACGTTAATTTATGAGCTGAAGACATGGGAAAAGCATAGAATTGCGACTAGCTAAAGTAAAATTTAAGTGGAATCCTAATCTTATTACAAGCTGTTACTCAATGAATACCATCAATAATTTCAATAACAACCAGAAATCATTTTTGGCATCCTGACTCATATAATATACTCAAATGTATGAAGCTTCTTTATGCCCTAAAATTGATCTAGTCTTCCTCAAGACTCTACTTCCTTCTGGGTAGTGGGAGGAAGGCTGAAGGATCATTCTAACCTCATTCCCTGCTGTTTCTGAATTGCCTTTTTGGGATGACATAGTCTCCTTCGCATAAATGTTCAGTCGGTTAGATTTCCTTACTTCCCCCTGCTCTGCTC